ACTGAATTGAAACCCCAAAGAACATTTTCAAACTGGAAACATTCTTTTGTCTTTTTCAGTTCAATGCCATTTGGTAGAAATGCACACTGAATAAGGCAAATAATAAAGCACTAATGGAGACTACAGTATGGTTCCTGTTACTCATTTTCTTTTGGTTGAGGCTTACATCTTGTGAATACGTCATCCAGACTTTTGATGGAGAAATTGGAGCAGGAAATTTTACTTATTTTACATTGAAGAAAGAAGGAGAAGTAACATTAATCCTTGAGAGCATAGAGGGTGATGCCGATATATATGTTTCACAAGAGAATCTCAAGCCTGATTTTGAAAATTACGATCTCAAGTCAGCAACTTGCGGTGAAGACATTGTTACAATTCCAAGTACTTATAAGAGACCTATTGGAATCTCAGTGTTTGGCCATGTATATGCCCCTACCACTAGATACACTATGAAAGTCTTAATGGACTATTCATCTGGAGATGAGAGTGAAAGATATCATAGTGAAACTGATGAGCCAGAGGAATCACTTATTTGGACAGTGTTTGTCAACATTTTAAAGCTTATTCTGGAGATTCTTCTGTGAACATTGAAGGTTACCTTTCACATGAACAGAAATTATTGTTATAGGTCTTGAGGTACGTTAATTTATAAATGCTTCTTTTATTGAATCAGTTCACTGCAGCTGTATGACCATATGTCATGACTTCAGTTGGAGAGAGGGCATTTTTGCCAACAGAAAAAGACTGTTAAAAAACCATACAATGAAGTAAGCTTTTTACAATTTTTGGTCTATGTAAAATTACTAAAAGATGGACATTTGTTTAGTTCAAAACTGGACATTTTCAATGATTTGGGTTAGAAATCATTAGCTTATGGTGTAAGTATTTGAGCATGTTGAGAGCAATTTCCAATCGAGTGTTGAAAAAATCTGTTGTTGCTTTGTTTTTGCTTTACTTTGCTCTGTAATTGGTGTAGAAAACTTGCACTTCTTTTTTAACCAATCAGTTGCAACACTAAAATCAATCAGGACTTGGTCACCAGTGTTTTCCTGCCCTTGAAGTAGTTTGGTCAGTTTTACTTTGAGTTTTCATTGCCTCTTTAAGGTGATTCCTCAGTATTACACTGTGTGTCCTCTACTGCCCGTAAAAATCATGTAATCAAGCGAATAAGTGTGCATGCATTTCAAGCAGGTATAATGGTCTTAAGCTCTTGAATGAGCACAGCAAACTATATTGTGTAATGTTTAATTTTGGTGTACAAATTATCCCCTCTAAATTGGAGAAGTTAAAAGACATTCATCAAAGGGAAAAAAAGATATAACTAAAGGCATGCACGAAGCCTGTTATTCGATGACACTAATTTTGACATTGAAAGCAAAGACTTTAGGAACCTTTCAAGTTGATGTTGTTTATAATTTCCTGATGTTCCCACAAATTATATTTTATCAAATTGTTCCATACAAGTAAGACTTTCTACCTCTCAAGTATTTTTTGTGTCGTTCAAGAACCCTTGCTTCAAGCTACTGCAATATGTACCATGAACTATTGAAATGATGTATGAGATTAGTGCCAGTACAGGCATATGGGGTAAGTTTGGCCCATCATATTCCTTAAACAAGCACAGGGAACTATCTTTTTAATGTATTTTTTTCCAAAATTGACATTGGTAAGGAACATTTCAGGATAGTCAAAAAAAAGTTTGATAACTTTTTTTTTCTGAGGAATCACCTGAAGGTATTTTCCGTTTTTCAAATGGGCAGTTGTGATTACTTTGGTTTTGGTATTGCTTCACTTAATGGAAAGTGCTCTATTATTAGCAGCAGTACTAGTATAAGTAACAGTATTAGTACCAGTATTAGTACCAGTATCAGTACCAATATTAGTACCAGTAAGATTTTCTCTTCTCACTAAGATTGAGCATATTTTCAAAAGTGACAGAAATAATTACAGTTATAAGACCCCTTCAAAGAAACATCGATCACCCCTTTGCTGAGTAAATGGATGAGTATTTACAAATAATTCTAATCAGCTTCATTGTCATCACCCTTTGCACCAGGCTAACATTAGCATTCATATTCTCCACACAGTTTTCTTTACAATTCCTGTTGTACCCACAAGGAGAATTTGTGTGACAATCAGGAGCTTCTTAAGTTGGTGATCATTTCTGTTATTCCTTTGACATTAACATTTGATTCAAGGGTTTCTTGTCATGGAACAACAAAGTTGACATCCTCTGAAGGATTATAATGATGCAAAACTCTGTTATGCTACAATTAAGGCCCAGATAGCACTGGTATATGATGTTAATCTTGAGGAAAATTTCCATAAATGCCCTTGTACTAAAAATGTTCAGTAACTCAGATCAGCAGAACTTGTCTATGTTCAGTAGGCCCTACATATTTATTTATGATCTGCTCACTATGAGCTATTATGGAATAAATACACCTTACATAATTCCATGATTTTACATATAAATTACATAAACAATTCTCCATTTGGTGCAAAAATATGCTCACATATTTCTCCATGGACATCATCTGTTCAGAGAGCAAAGCTCCAAGAAAGGTGTGAACTTTGAGGAACAGATAATGTCCAAGGACAAATAAGAGCATATTTTCATGCCAAGTGGAGGATATTGCATTTGACAAGCGGGAAAAATGTTATGAACAACTTACTGTTTACAGAATGGTATGTTTACTATTCAGTGTTCTCTGATATGATTTCATGAAAAATAAAAACATGTTCCTTCTTCTGTAACAACCACATTCACTTTCTCATCTTGAAGTAAATTTTAAAAGTAGGTTGTCTGTATTGGAGGGTTTGAAAATTGGGGAATATCACCTGGGTTTATCCTTGGATATCCCCCAGTTTTAGTTGGGGGAAATTCAGTTGTTTGATTGCACGCAAGCAAAAATATTGGTAGGATTGAAAGCATAGATACTTTGTGAGTTGCACAGTATTTTCTGGCGTCCCGTATGGAAGAGGCAAAGGAGCAATGAGCTTAATATCTGCTCATATTACAATTACATGAAACTATCAAATAAGGGATTTATTATACCACAGTATCATCTCATTTTTATAGTATTTGGTTTCTGGTTTTTGAAAGAAAGAGAAATTCAGATGTATTCAATGCAAACTTTTTATAAGATGGTCTAAATACACATAACTTGAGAGTCACTTCAGAACACTATCCAACCAGTCTTCAAGATCATCTTCCCTTTCCTTTGTAAACTGGTCAGCAGATGAGTTTGTTGTTGGCAATGAACCTTTGTCAGATGTATCCAGCTAATTAAAAATAAGAGCAAATAACAATTTGAGTTGAGAATACCAGTTGTGTTGTTCAGCTAATTGTCCAAATGAATTTCCAAGGTGTTAAGTCAATCAATATCCCTGTTCTACAGTCACAACTTATAACACATTTCAATCAATATTCATTTCACTTAAGACATGCATCTCACAACATATTAAATATTCACAGCTAACATACAAGCCATGCAGTCAAGTTGATCTATTCCCATGATGATTACATACTTAGAGATCAACAGCTCAAGAGGGATGGGAAAAAAGAACTAAAATTTTGTTAAATCACAAGTAGGTGAAGATTGACTTCAATGGGGCTAGTCTTTGTCTATGGATGCTGTTATTTGGAATGCTGAGTGACAGCTATGATCAGAGGATAATGTAGGTCACTCCTTAGAATCTCAAAATGCATTCAATAGGGAAAGATTTGATTATTGAATGTTTTTCTTTGACAATCTGAATGATAAATGCATTTTGATTGGGTGTTACTGATGATATATTGGTGGACAGATGCATAGATAATTTCCTCATTTACAAGTTTATTCTTTGTTATCATATCGAGCAAATAGATTCCATGTTGCCGTGTACAACAAGAGACCACAGAAGATGTCAAAATGTGGTAAAAACATCTGTGACAAACTTGGTTGTGCCTCATTTGCCATTCTTTTGTTCTTACCACACTATGACATCATCTGCGATCTATAACTGAACTGAGGCATGGAAACTTAGAATCTATTGTTTACTGGAGTATGTTTGTCCTTTGACCTTTGACTATTATCTAACCTTTTTTGTTTCCCCTACAGTGAATGACATTCTTTCATTACAACTATTTCCTCCAGGAGTGTCGAGTGAAAGAAGGAAATCAAGGTCATCATCTTCTTCATCGTTGCTTGATTTAATCACTTGTTCAGTTCTACCAGTCTGTGGACTATCTGCAGTGTTAACAGTTTTTAACACATCTTTCAAAGAACTCTGTAATTTTTTGGTGTTTTTAAGGCTACCAGGCTCACTTGTGAATCCAGAATGCTTTGAAAGGAGTGAACCCTCACTGTAGCCATTCAATGAACCAGTTGAAAATTTACCAGATTCACCATCAGTCTGTTGAAAAGGTCTTTTTGGTAAATCCTTTACAGTTTTTTTCTTAGTAGGCAATGCTTGTAATTCTGCATATTGAGAAGGGTTTTCATGTAAATTTCTGGCAGATGAGGTTAGACACTTGGTCATTGCATCATCTTTGCTTGACGGTGAAGTGCACTGATCTTTAGAGCATGCTTGTGCTTTTAGTTTGAACACTTCAATGATATCTGGCTGAGGAACAAAAAACATTTCTCTAGTACTTTATAGGTAAGATATCTCTGTCAATTAAAGACTGATGATTATACATTTTGTAGAATACTGTAACATTAACAATGAAGTTTTGATGATGAAGCTCATCACCGAAAGGAGACTGACACCAGGTTGCCAAAATTTTCCCATCCAGAACAGAAGTGACTGCATTGTAAGACAAATGTTACCCCTTTGACCATTATTAAAATAGAATGACACAATTTTGCATCACATCACATCCAACATGACGCACAGTTCACTACCTGATACACACAGTTCACTACCTAATATATCAGCTATGCCTGCTAGCTGTCTGTTAGTCATGGTCATGCTTGCCATCAGCAAAATCCACCTCTTATACCTGCCAAATTTTACTAAGTCAAATGCAGAATTTCCAAAAAATGTTCTGCTGAATTCTGACGATTTCTCAAAGCCTTTTGAATGCCACCAAACATGTCCAAAGATGTTCCAATGGCTGACACATGAACTGACATTTTAGCATGTTCTGATACAGTTAGGACTCAAAGTTGATGTTAAGCACCCCCTGTTGGAACATTTTCAAGAAATATGAACTGAATTTTTGTTTTTTATGTGTTAGAGAAAAAATCATCCAGATTTTCAGGTCAGGCATGAGAAATTGTCCTCAGATCAACATCTTTGGTCCACAGGTGTGAGACTCATGCATAATGCATGAGAACTGCCAGCTATAATGTCTTGTCAAATTGAACATTTTAGGTATTGCAAGGCTAGAAACTATTACTCCTAAAATTAAATTGAACAAAGCAACAACACTAAACCCAATGGTGTCGAAGTGCTGATGTGGCAATGAACTGTTAAATACCAGTATTACTTACCAAGGATATAAAGAGAGGAAATTGTACATATGATGAATATCAAGAAAAAAGTATGCTTCATGGGAATTTCAAAAGAAGAAACTGTGATACCCACATGTATTTCATCTTGTGAAATGTCAAGACGCTTGTGTAAAGGAACACAGTTCAAAGAACTTGCCAGGGCTCCAAAGTCTATCTCAAGTGCTGAAGTAGCCTGAAATGCCAAAAGAAAAAGTAAATGCAAATTAACCCTTGCAGATTACTCTTTATCCACAGAGGAGCAAAACTTGAGGAGCTTTTGTTCTCATGCAAGCCTTTTCATTATTGACTTCTTGCGAATTCATTTTTGTAAAGATTGCCAATGTGGTAGTGAACTCCCTAATTTTGCTACTAACCCTTTACACCCTAACATCAGTATGCATATTCTCCATACTGTTCTCTATACAATTCCTATGGTGTTGACAAGGAGAATTTGTTTATCAATCAAGAGCTTCTTTAGTTGGTGATCATGTCCTTTATTCTCATAAACATTAACATTTTAACCCCTAAGAGTGACTAGCATCTTATTTCTCCTTACAGTATCACCCCTGAATCAAACATTAAGGTCATGAGAATAATGGAAATGATCAGCAAGTATAGGAGCTCTTGATTGTTAAGCAAAATCTCCTCGTCAGCACCTAAGGAAATGTGTAGAAAACAGTAAGGAGAATATGCATACTGATCTTAGGGTGTAAAGGGTTAATGTTTGATTCAGGAGTGATACTGTGAGGAGAAATTAAATGCTGGTCACCCTTAGGGATATGAGGGTTAACTACTTGCCAAATCCTACATTGAACATCGCAGAGTTCCTATGGTAAATCAATTTTTGACTTACCTGTGTTGGCTCACCATCAGTTTCTTGATCCCAATCTTTTTCTGACTGAAACCGAAACTGTGAAGCAGGATCAGCTGAAAGATGATACGAAAAGATTATCTTTTTAAACTCTAACATCAGCTTGCATATTCTCCATATGGTTCTCTATATGTTTCCAGTAGAACTGATATGGAGAAACTACTCAACAATTAAGAAATTAAGTGCTCCTCCTTCCTGTTTGATCCCACTGCAGTACCATACAGAGAAATAAGATGCCAATCATTCTTAGTGATTAAATGGCTTGAGTTAACAAGTCTTACAACAATTGCCATGTACACTGATTTTTCTGAATACAAATTGGCAACTCTTAGAGTTTTACCTGATCTTTGAAGAAGAACACTAAAGTCCTCTCCTCTTCTTAAAATGTTTTCATTGTCATCTTCATCTTCTCCTGTATCTGAAATAAAGTAATATTTGAACATATATATTTCCATGAATTCAGTTTCATGAATTGAACTCTTTAAATAATATATGACTTGTCACCATGCAGCTATCACATAAAATGTCTCCGTGATCACGTTGTTTGTAAGACCATGACCTTTGACCTCCCCTTTATGACAACTAGGTCATGGGGTTTTTGTTAGGAAATGTAGTAGCAACACAGTAGGGTAAATTAACAATAGAATGATCCCTGCATCATAATAGATTCTGTGATTTGCAATACCTGACTCATGACAACAGCCTGTCTAAAGTATATTGCCTCAAATGGGCTCCAATTTATTGGTTTAATCTCTCAGGGAGTCAAATTCTTCTTGAGAAGAGGATTAATCCTTTAACTCCCAGAGTAGATCAACATGAAACTTCTCCCCAAAATATCCATATATTATCCAGCACACAGGCAATGAGAATGTTCAAACTTATCAGGTAGAAGCTGCTATATTGATCTAATACTGAATTCTCATATCTAAGTTACAAGGAAATGTGTAGCAGTAGAGGGGAGAATTAACAATCAGACCTTGGGAGTTTAAGGGTGAAGAAGTTCTGTCTCCTATTACATCAGATCCAGCAATTTATGACACTATATACTGGATTGCTCTCAATCAATACCCAGGACATTCACAAAAATATTTTATGAGACGGGATTGAGTGTATTTCACACTATAAAAAAAGCAGATGGCTAAAATGCAGAATAAGGATCAGAGGTAGATATAATTGCAATCTTTGACTTTCTTTCTTGAGTTAAGGATGCCACTGTTCAATGCTGAACAACAGTCCAAATCGACAAGGCACATTTATAAAAGCTAAACCCTATATTTGGTCAAACACAGATATTGCAGCTAAACAAATGACATAAAATATCAAGGAGTGATCAAAGTCAGTACTGTGCCTGCTATCATATCAACTTGACTAAATGTTATTAGCCCGTCCCTGCTGCAGAATGCTCTGACAAGAACCCAAATCCTATAGACTTAGGAAAGCATCCATTCTCAAATACACGCCAAATAACATGCAATTCAAAGTAGTAACCAAGGCAAAATAAATTGGTCCTGAAGTGATTGTGTGTTCTGCAGCCTTTCCAAGCAGATCGCTGGGAACACCTTCACCTCTGGGTCTCAATGTTTGTGACCTCACAGTGAATCTTTGCGGAAACCCATTTTAAGAATCTGGTGCTCAACTTTTAATTAACTCACCTTGCTCAAGGTCTCCATACCTATCCCAGTTGCTTGAGATATTTCTCCTTGAGAACTTCCTCTGATCTCCACAACAAACATAAAAATGTATATTAATACGAGAGCTTATAACAGTATCAGATTATTAAATATCGCAGACATTATTTTGCAATTCAGTACACAGTTCATTACCCCGTCAGTTTCCGCTAGATCGACGTTTCCTTGCGATTCTGTAGATTCTTTTCCTTCATTAGTTTCCTTCTTTTCTTTAGAGGTTGTCTTCTTTTCGGAAATTCCGTGTTTTTTCTTGTATTGTGCGCGCTGTTTTTTCTTATGTTCATCCGGTCTCATCTTGAAATGAGCATACGGAATATTTTTACAGCGGAGTCACGTACTCATCATGCGCACTCAGACACACAAATCCAAAATGGCAGACGAAGGGTAAGCGGTTCCTTAAATAATTGTTTCATACTGTTATTTGTTTGGAAAATGGTGCGAAGTCGCCTTCAGAAGGAAGTACTCTCTTTATATCGAAGATTTCTACGTGCAAGCCAAGACAAGCCTGGTTTTACAGAACACATAAAATATGAGTTCCGAAAAAACTCTGGGATACCTAAGACGGACGGTCTTCGCATCGAGTACTTGTTGAGAAGGGCACAGAATCAACTCAAACAACTCGAAAAGATGGAATGTAAATCAATGGGATTCTTTGCACAGCATGAAGATTAGCAGAGGTGATTTGAGAGCAAGTTATTTTTCTTTCGGAAATATATCAATCTCAACGCGATCAGGATATTGCATCAGACCTACTCCAGGCTGATTGTCGAAGCCACTTTATGTGGAGAATGAACGCGACAATTCGCAGGCTAAGCATGATTTTTGGAGTGATTATTTGGATATTTATTTGTCAGAAAGAGGACGAGCAAAGGAGATAATAGTTACTTTTCCCAGTAAACGCGTCGCTGGATCAAGAAGATGAGTATCTGGAGGTTTCGCCCCATTACAAGTTTGCCTCCATACGTCAGTGCGAGTTGGCCCCTTGCAATAAAACAAGTTTACCCCAACCTTCATCTTATTCTATGTACAAAACATGACGCTATCGACACTGCTGATCCCAGCAGTATGCAAGACCCACGTCATATATGAACTTCGCAATGGCATTGCTCACCATAGAGTCTCAATGGCCTAGTGGTAGAGTATCGGAGCGTGAAATCCGGAGGTCTTAGGTTCGACTTTTCATGGGAACTCATAATTTTTTATTTGTCCCACGCTCGTGACAAGATGAAAAAACATCTTTCTCTATTTCTTTACCGAGCTTAAAGTTACCGTCTTTCTTCTTCTTTTTACATTTCAAGACTTGTTGCTCATTTTGCTAAAGTAATTTTTCGAAAGTGAAAGTGTTTCCAAACTCAGACTCTCCTTTTTGCTTTACCTTTCAAAATACATTCAATTTCTAAATGCGTTTATCTGCAGTGGTGTAAAATGTATGGCGATAAGCTAACATCCGGTGTTAGTCTGTGCGCTCTAGTGCAAAGTTTCTTTTATGTTATTCATCGCGAAAAAAATTGATCGAGAAAATGCTAGTCTTGCAATGCTTGTTTATTGTGAGCATTGGTTGTGAAAGTAACCAAAGAGATACTTCGATGAATGTGTTGAGAGGTTCGTCGAGAACTATATCAGTTTCTTTAGCGTATGCAAGGCAGCCTGCGGAACCGGAAGCGTAAGTGCTAGTTACGCGCGAGGATTCGCGTTCACCTCGCGTTTGCCTTCGTTTGCGCGAAAAAATTACTCCTTGATGAGTCTCTATACAATACCAAAGTAATATTTGAATGAAACATCTAAATAACGCCGAGTATAAGAGTGAAGTCTGATTTTTTTTAAATTTTTTTTTCCTTCACCTTTTTTTTAATACGTGTAGGATCAAAGTAAATCTTTGTCCCAGATGACCCGAATTATTCATAATCTGCGTTTACGACATGAAGCTCATGCATTGCTTCGAAAGAGTTCTCTATGATGTCGATTCGTTTTTTATTGTTTTAGACTAGTTTGTTCACGCCATAAAAAGATATTACATGATATTATTAGTTCCTATTATTTGTTCCTTTCCTATACAGAAAATACATAATCCATAATAAAAATACATAATACATAATAAAATACATGTATTCGATGGATGTGTTGAGAGGTTCGTCGTTCGAAAAGGTTCGAAAATGGACGTAGGCATCCTTAAACGAGAGTCTTATTACGATTAACCATTAGCTGTAATAAAACGGCAAAACAATTTAGCCGTTGGGTGCAAAATTACTAAATTTTAAGCATTAGTCAAAAAGACAGCTAACTGTAAACATTTTCCTTTGTAACTTTAACGTTAAAAAAAATTTAAATTTCAACCGTTATCAGTAAAAGCCATTACCCCATGGGACCTTCTAAAGCGAAGTACACTTAAACGTCTAAAATCAGACAGGAGTGTTCGACATCGCCGCGTCTGTGAACCGATGGTAGCGTCCGGAACCGTACGGAAATGTTTAAAATCGGACCGAAGAGTCACGAATAAAGACAGTAACGTCAGGAATGTGATGGAATTGTCTTAGGTCGTGGAGAATAGCCCAGGATTTGAAAATGGACAAAAGTTTCCGAAATCGGACAGAGGTGGTCGTAAACAGACGGATCTATGATGCAATGGACGGAAGCGTCCGAAAAAAAAACTTATAAGTTCAAAAATCGGAAAGAAGTATCCAAAGTCGAACCGATGTGTTTGTACGAAAACGAACTAAAATCTTTCATAATTCCAAAATCGGACGGAAGGTTCTAAATCCGGACGAAAGTGTCTACAAACCGACATAACGCCGACGTAAACCTCATGAAAAGTATCGATACCTAATTTTTACAATTGTACTTTTTTTTTATTGAGTTAATTTTAACCCAGGCACCTTCACTATTTCTTGTGTTGGTCTTGCATGAATAATTAGAGTTGTTCCTGATATCATTGTTCCACTTAAATCCCTTCTTGAATTGAAATTAATTTTGGTTGAATAAATGGTTGTTCAAGGCTGAAAGCCCTTCCATTGTTTGAATTCTGGACAGAAAAGTACGGGAAATTGAAGTAATTAACAGCACTGTGAACCTGAAAAACTGACGATCTACTGTTCTTTTCTACTGAGCTGTTGCTGTTTCATTGGATGAGAAAACTAAAGTAAATTTTGCGCGAGGTTTAGGAAAGACTTTGATGAAAGGTGAAACAGGCCTCAATGAGCAGTTTCTCCAAGAAATGGTGGTACAATCAGGACCTGGCATTAGCTAACAAACAGGGCATTGTCCTTGGAAAAGAACTGATAAAGAAATGTACATTAGTTGCAAGCACCAATAAATTATTTGCTCAAAGCTATTAACTGCCATTGTTGTGATTACAAATACTCTGATGTGCTGGTGAAAGGAAGGATTTCGCGAAAGAAAATTACTAACGTCTTGGACTTTGGAAGTCGATCGCCTATTTTATCATTCCCATGATCTGGTCAGTGTACTCCCGAAAGGAAAGCTAATCTAAGAGAAGGTAAGCTTTGCGTAGTTGAAAAAATAAGTTAAAGGTACATTTTTTATTTACAGAAAAGCAGCTTACTTAGTCGCTGAAAGCTTGTTATAGCTCTGTCATTAATAAAACAACAGAGAATTAAGCCCACGAGTCCATGTCTGCTTGTTGTTGACAAACTCTGTTATTCCAAATTTGCGAATCATATACTTCCGTTGCAACAGCAAATTCTAACGTATTCTCGGTATGATCATATCAAAGAAACTCTTTTCACAACTCGTAATCAAATTGATTAATGGGTGCATGTGCGTCAAAGTAACATAGATTTTAAGGATACGTTGCGTAATGGTTGGTTGATAAAAAATGGACGAAATTTTCATTAAGAAAATGTACTGCATTTGAAATACAGTTTTGTTTTTGGGTAATGCTTGATAATTAAATAGAGAAAACAGATACAGGCACAAAACAGATATCAGATCCAATGATTTGTGTCTTTACAGTGAGTTAGTTGCTTTGTAAGCGATTTATACCAAGTTGACATATTCGAGTAAACCGATTTTCTGATTCAACTGCATGTGCTGACATCAAAAATATGTCGCTTTGTTAGGCGTGCGAAATCAAATGTCCCAGCTATTTGTTTGGCATGGAGCCAGTTGGTCAAATTAGACATCAGTCCCTGCAAATTATCTGTCAAAAAAACTCAAACAATGAGCATTCTAGAATGAATTATTCCCGTAAAAAGTTCTTTTGCTTTGTTCAGACTGAAATATAAGATAAAAGTGGAAATTATCAATGCTTGTTGTGAAACTGACTTGCATTATTGATGAAATTGGTTACGCCTCATTATAACTGGTGTAAGAATACGGCTTCTTTTAAATTCGGTATGTTTCATTTCGTCATAAAATGCGTCTTATTAGAAATTTATGAAATAAATCTTATTTCCAGAGTCCAAAATTGTTAAAACGACGTTTGTTAACCATGTATATGAAATCTTCTGCATGAATTAAGATGTGAAGCATTTCTAGGAAAGTGACATAGTACAAAATGTGAACTCTCCATGACAAGTCAAACCCACGTTATTTCCGACTTCTTAGCTAACTGAATTAGCTAGGAAGAGAGACTTGCAAGCGATTGAGGCCACTTCCATTACATTTGATGCGTGAAAATTTTTCGTGACGCCCTCAAGATCAGCATTAAGGAAAGGGTTCTGTATAGGGTGAGAAAAACCGAATAATTAGCGCGGAAGCGCATTGAAGGAAAATAATGAGAATTTTGCATGTTTGAGCATCCTTTCTGTTAGGTCAGATCTTTCTGAATACATTTATCGGAACTCACACAGGACGTTACAACGGCAAGTGGCACCATTTTTCAAGAGATTTAGCTTTTAGAACAAGACATCAAGAGAAAATGACCAATTATTTTCTTTGTGAGACATCCACTTTTTAGTCGTTGAAATCTGGATAGCATACAAGGACTGTAAACTTACTCATCACTGACATTGCAACGTTCTGAAATTATGTCCAAAATACAAAGGACTTATGATCAGTCGAATGTAATTCGCCTTAAACACAAAATTTCCAATGAAACAATGAATTATAAGAAGGAGGGAGAAAAAATTAGGGCTATTCGAGATTTTGGTCAGCTCAAGACAGAACAACCAAATCCGTTTGCTCTGAACAATAATTAACCTAATTGACCCTCTCTTGTGAGATGAACTAATTAAAGAGGTTTTTAAAAGAATTAACATATAGATGCTATTAGTTAAAAGGTACTGTGATATCATCTGTATGAGCGAGGATTCCTCTGAGATATATCTGCATATTTA